CTGTTCTAGCCTACAGGATGAGAGTTTCATACCTTCTGAACTTCTGAGATTGTGCTGTTTTACTTTCGTGTTCTAGAACTACACTTTCCAACATGGTGGCCGCAATCCATGTGTGACTATTAAGCCCTTGAAATGTGGCTAGTCCAAATTGAGATGTACTGTAAATATAAAATATGTAATAGACTTTGAAAACTCATTTCATTAATATTTTTATATAGATCATAAATTAATATTTTATTTTAAAAAGAACGTACATTATTAACATTAATTTCACCTGTTCCTTTTTTACTTTTTAAAATGTGCCACTAGAGAATTTTAAGGTGTCTATATAGCTCAAATTATGTTTCCATTGGACAGCGCTGCTCTAGAGTTAAATAATCAAATGTAATCGCTGCAGATTTAGGTAGCTAGTATCCTAAGGATCTGACTGGACCAGCAGCAGGGAATTGGTGGTGGGCTCCACACAGCACTCCCCCCTCGGTGAACCCTGTACGTTGTCCTTCCCCGTTGCATGCCTGTGAACACTAGGACTGAGCCCTGCAGCTGCCTCTTTGCAAACAAGGATCAAGGGCACCTGGCTCCCTGAAGCTGATTTCTCCTGAGCACTGAGGTGGAGGAACCTCTTGCTTACTTGCTGTGCCCTTGTGCTCCTCCTTGGAGTGATGACAGGAAGGGTCGTGGGAGACAACTGTAGAAGAACCTAGTGAATTTGGTGGAGCAATGGGGAGAGTCCCTCTGAAATGCTGACACCTGCACTTTTACAGCCAGTTAGGAATATGTATTGGAGCACTGGGAGAAGATGGTAGCAACACGAATATGAGTGGGAAGGGACTCCCATTTATGGAGCGCCCCCTCTGGACTGGGCACCCTGCCACATGCTGTATGTCGAGCATCTCACAAGGTCATTATTTTCAGAGCTCTCTGGTGGAAGGAGGTTAGACTTTTTGACCAGAGTTACATTCTGGGCTTTCATGGGGCAGTGTCCCAGAGAGATGAGCACGGACATAGCAGGGCCCCAAGAGATCTGCTGGTCTGTGAACTGGAGGATGATCTCAGTAAATATTGGAAACCCCTGATCCCAGGGTTAAAATTATCTTTGGGTTTTTTTTTTTTTTTTCCTGCTTGAAAGTTAATTAATCAAATAGCTGAGATTTCTGCAATATTCTCTATGATTATGACTACTACTTTATTGCTACGATAATGTAGCAGTAGTATAATATTCTACCATAATGAATATTATGACATGATAATGAATGAATATTAATGAAAATTATTTTTTCAGAAAATAACCAATTCACCCCAGAAGTTAATCAGCTGCAGGAGGGAAGAGGTGGAAGCCTGTGCCACTGCTATGCTGTCTTCGGAGGAGCCCTTCAGGACCTGGATCTAGGCAGGCTTTGGAAGGGCCCAGTTGAAACTGAGAAGCTGGTTGGCATGGCACAGAAATAAGGAAGGGAAAGGCTGTGGATCAGTTTTCCTCCATGGACAAAGGACAAGAAAAGCAAGAAGAGCCTGCTGGGTCCATGTCTAGAAGCGACTGTCAGAAGCAGAGTGGTTTGGCAGACAGAGCACTGAGTTGGGGTGAGAAGACGTGGCCTCTTAGAACTGGATCTGTCTGCCATTCACTGACCGAATGACCTGGAGAAAGTGACTTGAAATGGGGGAATTCACTATACAACCGTTAAACCACTATATATATGTATATGTATATCCAGCACTTGCAGAGCTTTGGGAAACTGGCAACACTGTACATTGTGATTGTTTCACCTTCTCTGCAGAATATAACAAGAGTGTAATAAGAATGATAAAAACTCTTCACACCGGCTGGCTTGGAGATCCCACTTTCCTAGAGGAAACCTTGAAGAGGAAAGGAAGGATGGGCACAACAGTGTTGACTTCGCTTCCAGCCAAATGCCTGTGCGGAGGTGAATGGCTCAGCCAGCTCTACAATACATGACCTAGAGGGAGGCCCCAGGCCCATGGAAAATGGGATGCTGTGGATTCATGAGATACTGTAAAGAGTAAATAATGTGTGCATACTAAAGGCAGGTAAAATGTACATGTACGAGGAGAGGAGAATGCAGGAGGATGTCAATAATGTGTGATGTTTGCTGTGTTCCCTTTACCTGTAGAGTTGTTAAAGTATAGAATTAAAAATAAAAAAGGGTTACCTTGGTAATCTTTTTGGCTTCTTACAAAAAAGTGGTCTTTGGGGTTCTAGTTACATTATCGACCTTGTGTCCAGAGAGGCTCCTGAAGACCACCGTTGGTCAGGAGTTGTGGGGGTGACCTCAGGTAGGGGATGGGACAGGGAAGGAGAGCAGGCAGCTTCTGGCTTCATGAGAACCCTGACTGATGCAGCCGGCCACAGCTTTACCTGGTCAGGGTGATCTTGGATCTTCCTGGAGGCCTTGCTCTACAGGAAATCCCTTTGGGTACCTCTCCTGCCTAAGACAGCTTCACTCAAGGTATCCTCAGCCCCTTCCAGCATGTTCATCCATGACTCACCTCTGGAAGCCTCTTCCTGCCCTTCTCCCTAACAGGCGAGGAAAAGAGTCAGGGTTAGAGAAGGAATAAAGAGGGAAGTTTCTTGAGAAGTAAAAGGTTTGATGGGCAAGACCCGTGCCTCCCTTCTTAGGCCCCACCCCCTCCCAGCTTTGGAGCCTCAGAGCTGGTTTGTCTCCATGCCAAATTCTTGGGCGCCTTCCAGCCAGCCCAGAGGTGGGGACAATCTAACTGTTTCAACCAGATAGTTTCCCCTACAAGATAGAGGTCTACAACCCCCTCTCCACCCGGTGGGGTCTCAAGTAGTCAGAGGTGGACTCTCCAGAAAGATGACATTACAGAAGATCTTTTCCTTTGTACCATTTATATGCTTCTGTGTTGTTTGACTCTTTCATGAAGAGTATGTGTTGATTTTATATTTAGCCTAAATTGGAGACATATTTTCAATTTGTAAAAATAAAGGCCATCTTACTCTACTGGTCATCACTCTCCCTCCTCCTGCTTCCACCCTGGGGCTGCTGTCCCTCTGTCACCTGTCCAGGACTAGAATCCAGAAATCACCTAAGATTTCCCTCTGCTTGAGTCCCTCTCACAATTTGTCCCAGTGCGTATCCATTCCTGCTGGCACGTATATGTATAGAGAATTTTCTCCCGATTATTGTTGTCTTTCCAGTTCCCAAACATGCACCCCCTGAGGTCATTGCAATCATGCACTAGACATTGAGCTAGTCCCCAATAGGAGAGGGCTTGCCTCCTCTGTAGCTGGTCATTCCCTCTCCCCTGGAGTGCTTATATACTGACTCCTGA